TCTCCCTCATAAATAATATTTTTAATTGAAAAAGCTTACTAGATGCAAAATAGTCAATCAGAAAATTGAAAAAAATCTTCCCTTTCTCAAACTTAGTTTTGTTTTAATTACCTTGTACATTGCTATGTTAGATAAAATTATTTAAATCTGTGAATAAATGTTAATATTGTCAATTATATCGTTTTGTACCATATGTGCCTATTCCTTTATTAAGGAATTAGAAGCCACACAGGTATAGAATTTTTAAGTAACATTTTCTTCTCTGATGACAGAAACAATACTTGTACTATATTAAAAACTTGGGAGATAAAAACATAAAGAAGAAAACAGTCATCCAAAATTTTACCACCCAGAGAGAACTACTATTATTAACATTCTAGTAACTTTCTTTTCAGTCTTTTGTTCCTCATATATTTTAGGTTTTAAGAATGATTTTTCTTTCTCTCCCAGTCATGGCACAGATTGAAAAACAAAAGAGATTTGAACAGTATACTACCTTTAAGAGCTGCTATCCTGCAAAGATGACTGGCCTCTATTTCTTAATAAAGTCTTCTGAGAAATAAAGAACAATAGTAACATCATAATGCATTTTGTTTATCTTCATCATGGTTTCTTTTTAATTGTTCTTGTTTTCATGTTTTATTTTTAAGAAGACATACTTATATAAAGATTGCATATTTTATTACATTTCCTAATAAAACCCTTTGATTTAAAGATGTATTTTTGAAAATGTTTACATTGATGATTAGTAATATTATGGCATGAATTTTCAGGTGATCAGATAAAATATATTTTGGGGAATAACCTGAACAAATAAAAGGTTTTTGATATAACTTCAATTAATTATACCACATGCTAATACTGAAGAGATGTGTGGAATTTTGGAAATGATCTGACTCATACATACTTAAAGTGTAGCCTACAGTAGATAGTTTGTTGCTTGTCTATTCTAGTAGAATGAAGATTCAAGTCAGTTACTCAGTTACTTGAAACAAAATGAAATCTTTTATTTCAATGGAATTACTGCAGAGGCATGAAATACTGGACAATTGCCTTCTGTCTTCACTTGACTCACCAGGATAGACTGAGGCTTTGGATGGATGGGTCTATATTAGCATTTCATTAGCACCTCACATGCTTTTGATGTACTCTTGAAATTGCTTTAAATTTTTTGTTGAAACAACAGTACATTTTGCACTGTAGTAGTAATAGCACTAACTGTATTGTACAGCAGTTAGTGAATTGTTTTAAAGAATCATTTCAGTGTAGAAATTTTGAAAAGATTAAGTCCCCTGTTCTTTATGATAGCTTAGTGCGATATGCACTTTAGCTTTACTTCCCGTTTTCATGCATTTAAGTTCCCTGTGACATGAAGCAACAGAAACTGAAAGATCAAAGTTGAGATTCTAACCCATTGATAGTATCAGATTTTTTTCTGTGTACAATTACAGGATTGTAATCTAAACTGGAATTTTTAGGCAGTAAGCCACTATAAAATGTTTTAGGGTAAGACATAAAATTATTATAAATAAAAGCTTAATCTTTGCAAAGGTATCTTTTTTAGTGTTTCTTTTTCACATGAAAAAGTAGTGTTGGCTGCTGAAAAATCTACAGTGTTTATTAAGGTTGTTCTGGGGTTATGTAAATATTTGTAAATTGGTTGGTGTCTGTACATTTAAATATGAAAAGTAATCTTGGAAACAGTTTTAACTTTTTCAAAAGGACTGTGTACAACTTCTTTGAGACCTGCTGTAGCACAGTTTGTACCTCTAATGTATTTGGGTGTTTTTTTTTGCAGACCAATTCAAATGCTAAGACTTTTGCTTATCTTTGACTTGTAAAAGGTGCATATTTTCATTTTCTTCTTTAAGTTTAAATTTTTGTATGATGTCAAACGGAATAAAGTTTATATATGGAAATTGTTGATGTGTTTTTTTGTTTTTTTTTCCCTGTGGAAGTCTTTACTTTTGAGATGAGATTGAGGCTGTAGTTATCTAGAACTGAACTGAATCCAGTATTATGCTTGATTATATTATACAGAGAATCTTGGAATCAAGTTCATTCATTGTTAAGTCAATTAACATTAGTACCCTATTTCTCTGGCAGTATATTAGTAACGAATCTTTCCATGTAGGTGAATTTTTTAGATTACTAATGTTTATGACTTTTGAAGCAATTAAGCTTTATATATTACTTTCCTTGGAAATTTCCTAAAATGTATTCTACAACTGTGCAACTCTTCTTTATCAGAATGTATTAAGTACAGTTAACATTTTTGTGATGACTCTGGGTATTCATTATGAACAATAAACAGTAGTCATAGTACTCTGTAGTAATACTGTGCAGCTCTCAGAGAGGGGTGAATGTGTAGGGCATTCTGCCTGCACAGTGTTACGACATTTCTTAATAAAGCCCCAGAATTTACCATGCATGGACTCCTTCACTGCCATTGTTTCCTCAGCTTTCAATGACCACCCCCCACCCCCCACCACACACACACTCATCTTACTGCTACTGCTTTTTAGCTGTTTTACTGTAACAAATAGATCAACAGATTAATAAATTTACACCCAATTCAGAGTCAGTAGACTGAAGCTTAAGATTATGTACCTTATGACAGCCAAATATGTCAGAAAAGTGGGCCATTAATATATAAAAGTGTTTCAGACTTTTAAATTATTTTCAATATGAATTATTTAAAATGTGGATAACACATATTTTTTTCTTCTTTAAAACTTTATTGGGGAACAATATGTTTTTTCCAGGACCCATCAGCTCCAAGTCAAGTTGTCCTTCAATCTTAGTTGTGGAGGGCACAGCTCAGCTCCAAGCCCAGTCACTTTTCAATCTAGTTATGGGGGGCATAGCCTACCATCCCATCTGGGGGTTGAACCGGCTACCTTGTTATTAAGAGCATGTTCTCCAACTGAGCCACCAGGCTGCCCCTAACACATTTTTTATTTTCTATTTGTATTGATTTGGCCATTTTTATATATTTGCATGTCTTGAGAGTAGTGTCAAAGTTAAAAATGTGCGATGTGGATTGCAATTCTAAATTTTGAATTGGTTTGAACTAGGATCTTTGCAAATAAATCTTGGTTACTTTAGTCAGATTTCCCAAGAAATTTTGAGTTAAATGGAAGGAATATATAATGGCTAACTCGAGTTTTGATTAGTGTTTAACAGATTCCCATAGCTGCTATTGAATTCTTTTTGTCCTAGGTGAGCAGTCATTTGGGATTACTAATGGAAAGGCTTTGCTTGTTTTAAGAGAAAATATATTACTGATGTTAAAGCTGGTTGGATGAACTCTGGAAGGCTGGAGTCCGCTATCTTCCCTTTTCATGCACACGAGCTGATGCTTCTGTACTGTATCTGCGCTATCTGCAGTTCTTTGCCCATGGACCTAATGCATGCATACAAGCTAGTGTAACATGAATACCACCTAACTTACATTCATCATATGCATTGTACTTAACGACTCTGTGAGTAGAATTTGCTGTAATTAAAAATAAATGTTAGCCATAAAATCATCCTCATGAAAAGAATAGTTTTATGCATTGTAAAGGTATCTCTATCTGTTAACAGCTCTGGTCCTGTTAGTTCATGGAACATTGATTAAGCACCTACTGTGTGCTAAGTACTTTGCTACTGTGTTTCCCCGAAAATAAGACCTAACCAGAAAACAAGCCCGAGCATCATTTTTTAGGATGCTCGTAATAGAAGCCCTACCCCAAACATAAGCCCCAGTTAGGATCGTCAGCCAGACATGACTGATTGAATAAGGGTAGATTTTTGTACATGAATAAATGAATAAATGTAGATTGTTGGAGCAAAAGTTAATGTAAGACCCCATCTTATTTTCAGGGAAACGCCGTAGTTTCCAGGCTTGTAAGAAATGGGAATGGTGGGACAGAAATGAGTAAAAACTTACAAAATCTAAGAGAAGGAGACACAAACATAATTTGAATATAGGCTAATGTAGGAACCTGCAAGAGGGGTATTGAGTTTAAGCTGGATTTCAAAGAAAAGTGATGGTCCTGAATGTTGAGTAACCCTGTAGATAAAGGTGGGAGAAGCCTTTCAGGCAGGAGGAACTGTGTAAATAAAGGTACAGCGGTGTGACGATAAATGTTGAGAACACTTGACTTCTTTAGAAAAGACCAGGCAGATAAGATGTGGGCTGTTACTCAGTCTTTAGCGTTATGAGGTTAGGCTTTAGTCCTTGAGCAGAGGGAAGCCATTGAGGGGCTTTAAGCATGGACATGACATGACCCAACCAAAGGCCTGGGGCTCTTTGGGTTGAGCTTCAGATAAAATTTAGCCTTTGGCCAATGTGGGGAAAAATTATTCCTCTTCAGATTTTAAGATTGGTGGATATAAACATTTCCTGACTGTAACAATCTAGGAGCCACTGACGAATACACAATTTATTGATTTGCAAACGTTGAAGGAAGCCAATGCTCAACAGTGGTTCAAAACTGGGCTTTCAAAACGAAACGGCAGACCAAAGCTTTGTTTCCCATTGGGTCACTTTTCTAGCCACCAGACCTTCAGCAAACGAGATACTCAAGCTCTTTTGAGCCTCAGTCTTCTCATCTATAAAACCAGCATTGCAGTTAAACCTACCACGGCAGAGTTGAGGGTGGATAATGCAAGTGCGATCCTTAGCTGAGTGCCTGAACTAGGAAATGCTGTGCTCAGTTAGGAGTAATTTGATTGGGATAAAGGGTCCGTCAAGTAGGTTGGCTGGAAACAGCCTACCAAACCCATTCTAGAGGAGACAGAGAGGCCGGGCTGGGTGTCTTTCTTCTTTTCAACTCCCCGGTGCAGCCGGACGGAGCCTGCGCCCCTTGTAGTGGTGAGTGATCTCCAGTTGCCCCAAGGGCCCGACAGAGATCTGCCTAAAGTGGGGCGGGGATGGCTCGGCACACGCGCAGGGAAGAGGAGAAGCTAAGCCCGGGCCCCAGAAACTCGGTGGCGAAACTTTTTGACGCCTTCTATTTAAAGTCGCGGGGCTCGCCCGCCCCCCGGGCCGGGAACCCGAGCCGCCCTGCCGAGGCCAAAGGCGCAGTCAGAGGGAGAACACCAGGCGCGGCGCGGGCGGCTCCGGCTCAGCTCCGGCCCCGGAAAGACGCGATGGCGAGCAGCGACAGCACCTACGCCGCCGAGAGCTCTCTCGGCTCCGACGGGGACGAGGAGGCGACCCAAGAGCTGGAGACGGAGGAGGAGTCTGAGGGCGAGGAAGATGAGACAGCCACGGAGTCGGAGGAGGAGCCGGACGCCAGGTACCCTGTGCCCCCGAGGCCCGCAGCCCGAGCGCACCGCCTGGGGCCTGGAAATGCGGTCGTGGAGGGCAGGTGCTTCTCGGGGCAGCGCCGCAGCCTTCGTTTTTCTCTTCTCTTTAACCACTTTCCCTCGAGCTAAGCACTTTCTCTCTGGGGACGCTGCCCTGGTGAGAACTTGGTGAAGGTGCCTCGAGGCAGCTAGAGTGACAGGCCCACCTGCAGCCGCAGAGTTCATCCCCCTCCCGCTTCCTCCACTACGTCCTCCCGCCCAGCCCAGCGCCTAGTGTCCTAGTGACTTGCTTTTGTTTATTCCTGGGAATTGACCTAGAGTCTTGCCTAACTGCAGAGATGTGCTGAAACGCTGGCGTTGGGCCCAAGGCATCGGAACAATATTAAAAACCTTAGCTAAAGGAGAAGGGGCAGGCGGGGCTGGGGCGGGGGGCGGGGGGATGGCGACGGAGGCTGCTCTGGAACCTTCAGATGCTGGAGGAGGTCTTTTGAATGGCTAGCATTGGGCTAGGTTGCTATAAGGGGACTTCATTTTGGTGCAAAGGCCCATACATTCTTTGGAGAAAAGGAGCATGCGTTCCAGTAAACCCTGCTCTAAACAGCCTGCTGCTTTTTTTCGTGGTCCCAAATAGCACCATTTCAATGAATGTGCATGCAGTTAGGTAAGACTGTATAAAACCTGGGTCTCCCTCCACTTGCATCTCCCACCCTTCCTTTCCTCGTGGAGACCCTAACATGAGAATAAGAGGCATCTTCTCCTCTCTGTTTGGATTTCTTTCTACTTTCACTTGTTCTCATTGAGTATTGGTTTGGTTTTGCTGTTATTTGTTTGTTTTTAGGGTTTTTTTTTTAGTATACGTTTTTGTTGTTGTTTCGTTGGTTACTGATATCCCTTTCTACGTCTATTAATATCAGTAGAAAGGTTTTGTAGGTGACAGAGGGGTGTGCAGCATTTCAGAATGCCCATCTTATCCAAAGTGAAAAGTGCTGCCAGACCAAAGCCAGCAGAGCTGAAGTTGAAACAGGCCGTAAGTGGCAGTGATTAGGATGACTGGTCAGTCAGATAAGAAGTCTGGAATATCTATCACATACTGGGTTGCCAAAAAAATGTGCCAAATAAATGTATACAAGGGGACGCTTTGGTCAGCCTTGCTCAAGCAGTAGTTTACCGTAATCAGAAGTGTCTGATGCTGATGGTAACCACTTTGAGCACCTCTTGTAATTGCAGAAGTCAAATGTGACTTGTGTTCATCTTTTGTTATCGGTATATATTGAGTATTATAATTTTAATCATTTTTTTCCTTTTTAAAAATGTGTATATATTTTTTTGGCACCCCCTGTATTTACCAAGCAGTTACCAAGTGGCAAACAGTCACAGTCTCTGTCCTCAAGGACTGGATGAAAAAGTTAGATAACAATATGTGGAGTATGAGACTATGTACTAAATAAGTGAGAGGGGTGGGAGGACATACCCTGAGTACTGTGGAAGGTCAGAAGAGAATGTGTAGATTTGTGACTGCCTGGGGAAGAAGTGGGCATGGCCTGGCCTTACAGAATGGGCAGGAGATGCAGAAAGGAAAAGCAGAGGAGAAGGCACCTATGGGAGGAGAACAAGGAGTAGGGACCTGTGATTCCTGGGCGGTATTGAGAAGGGGCAATTTGTCAGTCCCAGACTTCATAAACTTTTCCCCTTAATGGTGCCTGAGATCCTCATATCCTTGGCCCAATTTTGGCTCAGCCAAAATGGACCCCTTAGAGAATCTGAAAACTCATTTACTCTTAAACTGTGAACAGCTGACCGCGATTCAAAGCACTACTTTGGAGTTGCATTGCCCTTTGACAAAGATGAAGATCTTCAGGTCAATATATGATTTATCTGCCGTAAACATGAGCCTGCTCTGACTACAGATGGTGAGGTGGACACCAGGGCAAGACCAGAATGAACAGAATGGAATGAAACAGGGAATAGATAGGCGGTGGTGGAGGCCTTGAAAACCCTCACAAGTTGTAAAAATTTGGATTGGATGACATCGGTAACAAGAAATCAGTAAACTGAACAGGACTTAGAAGAACAGAGCGGTGTTATTGAAAAATTAGACTGACGGGCAGATTGGAAAGTTGGGTTTAGGGAGGGCTCAGATCAGAGAGGTGGTATCAGAGACAACGGAAGGAGATGTCTAGTGGAGGCCAGGGGGAGGAGATGGTAGCTGTTGCTATAGAGATAGGGAGAAAGGGGGGAGGAACCTCAAGGCCAACTGGGAGTCTTTGAATTTCTCCTCCCTCAGTCAGAAATCAAACCATTTTGTTGTGCGCGAGTTTATAAAGACAGCCTGAAGTTCTTTTTACTTCTGAGACTAGAGGTGAGAACTTAGACTATTCTTAATTAATGGGAGGTAAGAATGATGTCCTCTCGGCTCTTCCACTAAAGTTTTATAATTAAAAGAGGGGCCTCTCACTCTGTGCGAGTCTTGGTGCTAAATGTGTACAAATGTTTTCTCATTTTAAACCCTATCAGTAATATTGTACTATGAAGTGACTGTCCAGTTACAGATGAGGGAACTGAGGCTTTGTTATATAATTTACTGAGAGTATAAGGCGAGTAAATGTAAGAGCCATGATGTGGGCCTGGGTCTGTGGACTTCAAGCCACTGATAGACTTTTGCTGCCTCCCTTCTTTACTGTAAGTGAAACTTGAATGACTCCAACTAGTTTTTACATTGAAAGGTTATGACAGGAAAAGGAAAGACTTCATCTCTTTCAATACTAGTGGGAGTTTTCCCCCTTTTGAATGGAAAAGTTGTCCCTGCATTTTCTCAGAGGTCAGAACCATTCTCAGAAGTTGAATTACAAACTGATTGTTTTTTTCAAAAATTGAGAGACTGACTCATAAAAGTAAATAAATAGAAACAGACTAAGTAATAGTCACAGGATTAATTATTGCATCTCATTGATGTGATATTGTTAAGCCATTATTAAAATGCTATTGATGAAGATTTCTAACTATGGAAAAGGCATATATTGCATTTGAAAAAAATCTATTGTATAAATTAGGATGATCTCACTATAAAATAAAATATGTATTGGAAAAAGCTTCAAGGGGTAATAAAGGTTAATATAATAAATAACATAATAAGGTTAAGAAAGGTTAATAGTGGTTGTCTCTGAGTGATGGGATAATAGACTAAAATTTTTTCTCTGTATGTATCTGCATTTTTCAGTTTTCCTATAATGAACAGGTAATGCATTTTATTATCAAAAAATATAAAATTTATGTTTAAAAATTCAAAAGGCACAAAGTGTATTCTGATTGTAAATCTTTTGTACCCTTTCAGGAATAATATATACTAGAATTATCTATAGCCACCCTTCTGAATCAAAGGGAAAAAAGCCTCTTTGATTGTAAAAATGCTTTTTTAGTGCAGGAAAGCTCACTATTACCCATGCCAGTACTTACATTGGATCAGAGAACTACCCTTCTGACGTGTCATTCAGTGATATGAATATGGTACATGGTATACAGAGCCCTGAGTGTGAATCTTATTAGCCAGTCATTGTATCATGGGCAAACTCCCTATCCGTTCTGTGCCCCAGTTTTCTCATCTGTAAAATGGTAGTAATAATTCCTAACTCATGAGGCTGTCACAGGATTAAATGAACACTGTGAATGTGTGTAAGCGTGTTTGGCTTTTAATAGATTCCCAGTAAGTTTTAGTTTCTTACATCCCTTCAGATAAATCATTGGCAGCAAAGCTTTACCTCCTGCCCACCATTCATCAGTCAAGGGAGAGAGATGGTTTCAGTTCTCAGTATGAGTAATGACCCCATTCCACTTTGGCTTCCCCTATATTTTTTCATTCACTGAACCTTCATGGGTTGCCTACCAATTGCCATGGACTATGTATGCAAGGTGCTGGGGATACAAAAATTACTCAGAATCCATTACTGTCCTCAAGGTGTTCACATTCTAGATGGAGAAACAGGAAAACATAATTATGTCGTTAACTGTTAAGAGGTTTGAGGAAGAAATGTCTTTATGAAGCATGTCAACATAGGGCGAAAGTCCTGGGATCCATCCTGCCTGGAAAGATTGGCGAAGGCTTCATCAGGGGTCTTTGGAGCAGGGACTTCAATCATAAAGAAGTACCCAAAGGGCTCATAGTTTGTGGATATCAGAAAAAGATTTTTGAGTCGCTGAAACTTTGTACTGTACTGTTGTCTGTTAAAAAGCGGCTGTGTAAAACCCAGTGAATTTAGAGGTGGGTGAGGCTTTAGAAACCTCTTTTCCCAACCAGTTCTTTCACAGGTTCAGAAACTGGATGTTAGGGGACATTTGTTCTAAGTCACACAACTTCTCTGAGTGATAGAATTAGGACTAGATCCAGGTGTCTGGATCCCAATCTCATGTTTGTTCATTTATTCATTCAACAAATATTTATTGAACTCCTATGTTCCAGGCACTTTCTAGGCACAAAAGATACAGCAGTGAACAAAAGAAGCAAAGTCCCTGTCCTTCTGGGAATGAAATGACTTTCCGGTTTCTGGAGACAAATTTGTAATACGTCAGGTGGCAATTAGTGATCTGAGGACAAATATAGCAGGATAAGGATTATGTTGTTTGAAGAAAGCCTCTGTGATGGGGTATCATTTGAGCAGAGACTGAAGGAATGAGTGTTCTAGGCTAAGGGAAGAGCTGGCACAAGGGCACTGAGGCGGGAATGTGTGTGGCTTGTTTGAGGAACGCAAGGTCAGGTTGATGGAGCAAAGTAAATAAGGGGGCGGGGAGATGAGTCTAAGGTAGTTGAGTGGCAGATCATGTAGGGCTCTGTAGGGCATAGTAAGTACTTCAAATTTTATTCTGAGTAAAATAGGAAGCTGTGTTCTATCTATCATACCACTCAGGGCTTAAAAAAGGGAAAAACGAAACATGGTGATTGCAGTATTCCCTTAAATAGTAAGCACCACTACATTCCTATATTTAGTCAACTAGTATT